GTTACAGCTCACCCCATAGTGGGCTAGATTGTAACAACAGAACTCTTTGTATTTGACATTAACTCACATAATCTGTGATTAGGCACTATGCATCTAAGTGAGTTATGACTTTGAGGGGACCCCATAGCAAATTCAGTGCACCGGGCCAGGATTCCTAGCGATATTCATTGATTTTAGATCAAAAACTCAGAATTGATTGGGTAAAAATAATAAACAGATTATCATAAGGCATCCTGCTTCAGTTTACCATTTATGTAGATGGTTTGACCTCTTTTCAAGGTAAAATGTTTCTACTGTTAGATGAAAAACACAAGGGAGGATGAACACAGTAAACTCTATGTGCTATTGTGCGCATACACATTACTTTATAACAATGACAACAATTCACCAAGTGCACGACAGGAGGGTGAATTTAGTATCAAGTTATGTAGCTCTTTATTATGTACTACTGTACACCCGAAGCACTTTACAATCATAGCAGAGTCTCGTCTCACCACACCAGCTGTAGGTAGAGAGGAGAGATTCTGCTGTGGGTAATTTTCACAGAAGAGACTTTGTTTCTCAGCACATAAAGATGAGCTACTTACCGTGATTTCAGACTGCGGTGGTCTGGTTTCTCCACTGCATGGATCCTCATGTGTATCTTCAGGTGACTTTTAACAGTGAAACTCTTCCCGCACTGATCACAAGTGAATAGCTTCTCTCCAGTATGAACTCTCATGTGATCAACACGATGTTGTTTGTTTGTAAAACTCTTTCCACACTGAGTGCAGGGGAAAGATTTCTTGGCTCTTCTTTTCTTTAAACATGTTTTCTCAGTCTTTGAGCAAGGGTTTTCTCCAGGTTTGTCATGATATATTTCCTCCACTTCACTCAGTTCTTGACTCTCCTCGTTCTCGTTCATCAGCTCTGAAAAAAAAGAAGAAAAAAAACAGTTTCATTTAATTTTCAGTACATTACAATAATTCAAAGAAAGAAATGTGACGTGAAAGAACATAAAAGTGAGCCCAGATGTAACAAAGTAGATAACTGCTAGAAAATATTACAATTATTTTGATATATACATATTTTTTATAAATTAATTACACATCCCTAAAACTCTCCATGAATGAGGTACACTGGTGTTCTAGTAATTATATTTAAATCGGACAAATATCATGTTTCTGTAGTGAGAACTTTTATTGATCAATGACACAATTATCTAATGTGAT